CTACTTCGTTGCCGACTTGGTCGTACACGTATCATCCGAGTGTCCAGACTCGTTGTCGTGTGCGCCATCGTAAGATCCCTGGGTCGATCCGTTGGCCGGGTTGTCAGCCACCCAGGTCGAAGCAGGATTCTGTCGAGTTTCATGATCCGAGGGAGGATGAGACACAGCATTTGCCTCCGTCGTCGAAGACCAAGAGGCCACGTAAGTGGCATGGGCGTAAGAAGCAGGAGGAGAGAGTGACTTCTGTTGCCGGCGGGGAGTCTCCCTCTTCGTTTCCCTCCGTGCGTCCTGTACCAAAGAAACAGTCTTATCGGCAGACACCGCAAGAATCGTGGTGGTCTTCATCGCTCACCATGCTTCTCGAGGTGTCGCCTTGGGAGCTCTTCACCCGAATTTGGTGGTTGGTTGTGTGCTTTGTCGTTGTCGGCATTGCACGCCACTCATTGCATCTAGCGTTTCGGACGATTCCGTCCGCCAGATCTCGTCCTATCTTCCACCGAATGGATTGGAAGACAGCGCAACTTCGATTCCTCAAGCGACTTCAAGGATGGAAGGGTCGGCGGCCGAAAGAGAAGAAGGCTGATGCCGATCGACTCAAACCTCCTTCGTATAGTAGCCTTGACGAGGGGCGTCTCATCGATGAGTTCGTTCGTCGTGGCTATGAAGATTTCAAGGAAGAATCACTTGGTGTCATGCGTACAGGATTCATCCTGACCACTCTTTTTGCGGTCTTGATGGGGTCTCTGTGGGCAGCCAGCTGGTCGAGCTTCGCGTACGTGTTGGACTCATGGCTTTGGTGGGTTCACCAATTGTTAGCTGTGGTGGCGTACTTCGGTACGCGGCGCCAGGAGTGGATGAGCAAATGTCTTCCTCCTCGAATAAAGGCAGGAGCGGAGGCGACATTCCGTGTCTCCTCCGCCTTGCTCTTCATTCCGACGCTCCCAGACCGTTGTTGCACGTGTTGTGGACTCCAGTCTTCGCTGCGGCGTTGCTGGGGCTGATCTTCTTTTCGTTGATGGCCTTTATTGGCTGGATGCGAGTGATGATCCTGAATGCAGCCTTAGTAAGAGCGATGCAAGGCGTGCCATCTGATAGGCCTGCATGGCTTGTTGCGCTTACTGGAGGGAACTATCGATTCATGTTGCCTATCCGTGTCGCGGAAGGCAAACAGATGCGCTCCGTGTTGGTTCATTCGTTGGTCGACACAGGAGCTGACAACAGTTACATATCGGCATCGCTGTATCGAGCGCTGCGTCGTGCTGGTGCAGTGGGACCGATGGTACCTGTGCGTAAGCGTTTGAGGGCCGAAGGAGGCCAGGACCTCCGTGTCGAAGGGAGAGCTCGATTCCGATTGTGCCCTCCTCAAAAGCCTTGACCGGGGGAATCCACAATCCCATCTATCACCTTTGACCTTACGGTCGTGTCGAACATGACCACTGACATGATCTTGGGTGGTGATTTCTTGTATTGTTACGGACAGTCGATGCATTTTCCAACGATGCAGCTGGACTTGATTGACTGGCCGCCGTTGAAGATGTATTTCGCCAAGGAACGAGCGCCAGACACTCATGCTTCGGCTGCTCATTCCATTCTTCGTGGGTTGTCCAAGAGACAGAGTGGTTCTCGAGTCCATGTCTCCTCTGCTGCGAGTCCCGAGCAGGGCGAGACCGAAAGCCACGTTGCGTCTGTCGAAATGGACGACGGGAAGCCGGTTGCTGCACGGACGAGAGCGAAAGCCACGTCCTCGCCAGCCCGCGAACCCGACAAGCCAGATGATAAGAAGGTCGAGGATCCGGCAGCCGCACAGGGTGCGCAGGATCTCGACGAAGATGAGATCGATCGAGCCTTCCGTGAGCTCGATGAAGACGAGCAGAAGCGGAAAGCCAAAGCGTCATCTGATGGTCAGAAGAAGAGGCGTGAGAAGCCGAAACCCAAGCCTCGTGTGCGACTGAAGAGGACTGACCCTGTCTTTGCGACAGTGGCCAAGTCGACAATCCCAGCATGGAGCTTGATGGTTGTTGAGCTTCGCCTTGATGATTCAGAGCATGATGACGGGCAGGAGGGCATGTTGAGTCCTCTGCCTGGACTTCCACATCGTTTGGGTCTTCCTCACTGCTTGGTGAAGACTCACCGAGCCACTGATAAAGAGACGGGCAAGGAGTACACGTCAGTGTCTCTCCCTGTCGCCAACTTCTCTCGCGCGCCGTATACCTTGGTGAAGGGTCTGCGCGTGTCACGTTTCTCTCCTGGAAAGCTCCAGGTGGGTGAGAATGTAGCACCGATGATGGACGAAGTGACGTTTCGAGTGAGGGATGCTGCCTTATTGAGGGGCGCGGACCTCCCGTCGAACGCCACGATTCAAGTCGATCCATCGATCGCTCCTGATGAACAAGG